ACAATGTGTAGTACACTTGTTATTATAATATACGGTGTACACATTCAAACTCTGAGCATATTATACACTAGAAATTTATATTACTAATAACAATTAATAAACATGATGATAACAATAATAATGATAATAATATACTACGCGACTGCCGCGCTTCCCAGCTATCTGCACGAATCGATAATAAGCCAAAGGTTAGGTTGACGACACGCAGTACCTTTATAATATTATATATTATTAACACATTTGGGACGGTTTTTATTTTAGGTTTATTTCTAGCTTGACATTTGCGAGCCACTGCGTCGTATTACCGGGAGCTTAAAAATTGAAAATTAAAAATTAATACTACAGAACGACGGACCTCCTAATATTTTATTTTGTTTTAAAATAACACGATAACATTAATATTAATATACAAAAATCGTTTTACCTCCGGGATTGACAACTCGGCTTTGTGGAGTACTGTTGCCCGCGGCGCCGGATGATCTCCGAGACCTGTCAAAAATAAAAATAATCAATTAACTATATATAATATTATTTTATGATACTGTTCATCGGCTAATAATCCCGATATACGCCGTATTGACATTATATAGATCGGTCACATAACTGTTACTGTACGTAACATATAATAATATTAAATTCATTAAAATTGCCTACAGTTTTGGAGTGGCGAAAAAACCGTATATTTTTTATATACACCGCACGCTCTCGTCAGAACTTGACTGAATATTAATATACAGGGTGGAATATATGACGAGCAATATTTCCAAATCATCCATACACACCCTTTAGGATGGGATTTACGTAATATAGCATAATAATAATATTGATTTTCTACACGCGAAACCTCAGTGATGAGTCTTTTAGTTTCCCTCTGACAATGTTTATCAGCTTATCATACATCGTTCTACAGCACTATGTAAAATATTATAAAAATGAACAAACACTGGTCAAGATTAATTGTACTTTGGATCTCATGTAAACGAGTAATAACTTAATTAGACGATTTGCGTCACTCATCTCCTATACTAACTGTCATTGTCTCTGTCTCTCTCTCAGTGTATTATATTAAAATAATATTCATAGTCTGCTCATTCCTCAAAACCACTGAAAGTATGTCATAGTATAATACGCTTGAAGAATATTGACATCAGAATGACCGGACGATTCCAAGAAATTATGTGTAAAAATATTGATAAGAAAAGTTTTTTTTCAAGAAGTCGGTGAACAATTATTGTGATTATACAAATAAAAGTTATATCGAGAATATTACTACTAATAACTGATAAAAAAACTAAAAAAATGAAAATCAATTTTAGAATTATTTTTATTTTTGGACCAGGTACACGATTTTTGTACAACGTTAAAGCTGAAAAATACGTGTCACGAAGAAATGTAATTTATTAAATACTCCACAGAATTTAATGTCATAATTATGCTAATATAACCTTAGTACCCACCTATATGACCGCCTATCTATACATACTATCCAACTATACCAATACACGTGTAGTGGCTACACATTATATTATATTATTATTATAATTTATAAATATAAGAATTTTGTTGACGCGTCACATCGATTTAATTATTACGCACGTATAATATAGTTTCACCCGGTAATTACGTTCGCAAAAAGCCATAAAGGGTTCCAGTTTTCCCCAGCAACTGCTCTAAAATAGGTCAATTTATCGGGAGGAGATGAAATAATAGGTACATTAAATGTATACGTTTATATATTTGGACACGGAATAAATTACAGTCATTTTTTAGACGAAATTAATTAGAAAAGAGTTTGTTAACTACTACTTTGCTTATTTTAGTGTAAATATAAAGTATTCAGAAAAAATAAGTACCTATAATATAATAATACTGCAGCTATACCTATAATAGTATTACATGACGAATAATATAAGAAACGTATACAAATATAATATATAAAATAATAAAGCAGTAGACGATTGAGAAGACAAAGAACTAAATTGTGAACAAAGTTTTTGTTTTCTATGAGTATTTATTTTTCATTTTGTATAATGTAACAAATTAATGTAACAAAGAACAATTTATTATTCTACTGAAAAATATATTTATTAAAAATTCAAGCAAGTAAAGATAAACACTGTAGTTTTCAGTTGGCGAAGATTAAAAATAATAATAATAAATATAGCAACTATAGAATATAGTGTAAAACAATTTGAAATCATAGTAAATAATAGTTCCTTTATATTATGTATGCTACCGCAATTAAAAGTTTATATTAACTAGTACGGACAGCAGTTGAGCTCATTCCTATATATTGGCCCTGGAAATTTGCAATTAAATTCGTTGTGTAAAATATAGAGGTACGGGTATATAATAATTATGCATTTAAAATAAATTCGAACGAATCGTCAACAATTTGTTGTGATAGTAAAATAATTGAATAACTCGGATCATGTTCATATCAATATCTGCAGCGATACGATTTAAACATAAAACAATTAACAAACTAAATATGAAATCCAGAACTTATCAAACACAATCATCGTTTCAATTGGTTTTCCGTACCACGGTGAATATTATTATGACAGAAAAATAACTGCCAAAACCTAATCCATTTATATTAAATAGTGAAATAGTTTATGGAACGAAAACATGTTTCAAAACAGAGCGATGGTTTAGTGCTCAGCAAGTTTAATATGATTACTCGGGACGTCCTTTTATACAGTATATAGTTTTACGTCACTTTTCACTGCTAAAATATTATAGTAAAATAACGGTAGGTAGGTTTATATTTACGGTCCCGTATGGTATTGCACGCTTCAACGTTTGCAACTGGCTAATGGTAATTTATTAAAGTGACTTTGAATTCTCCACGATTTAGGACAGCTGTTGTTGTTTGCAACCATCATGGTCGTCTGGAGTATTTAATTTACACACAATATTATTATCGTGAAGTGTTTGCATTGTCGCTGTTCTATGGAGAGTGATAAATAACATAATATACATATGTGTTTATAAACTAAATTCTTTTTTCGATTTCAAAACGTCTAATTATTAATGAGCGTCGAGTTCAAGTTACGCGTGTCAAAGAAAACGTAACACTATTATTATTATTTGGAGTGTTATCAATAGAATATTATTTTATCGGTTGTGCAATCGACGTGTGCAATTATTATAATAATATGCAGGGCAGCTGTGAGCGACCGACTACATAATATTATAGTACCACACGACGTGACTTTCGGAACGTATAGGTATATACGAAGCGCAACAACAAAGATAATAATAAAAATATTATTTAATATTATTATACGGAGATGTATTATATTTTTAACAAAACTTTTTCCGCCTTATTTATTTATGTTTTTATTGGACGGCGAAGACTGAAAACCACCCCGATCCGTTCGCCCGAGGCGGCAACGACGACAGCGGAGGCCGTGGTGCAGAGCGGTCGTGGAAAGATTTCCTTTATAAGTCGTCATTATGTATTATATTATGTTATAGAATATAAAGGAAAATGTTTGGAAAAAATAAAAAACGATCGAACGCCGTTCGATATTATATATAATAAGGAAGCGGCAAAAAAAGATGCACATATGTACTTATGTATTTTCTCTCTTTTTCTCTCCCTCTCTCTCTCTACCACTCTGATTTTTATAATATGGACGACGATGACGTATATGAAATATATACATTAAACTTTTTCCTCCGACTATTTCTTATAGCCTTTTCTTTTGGTGCGTCATTCGACCTTTTGCGCCCTTATACCGTATTTCTCATATCTTATTCGTTGGTTGCATACTAGTTGCGTCCAAAAGATAACTAGGAGAAAAAAAGTCGTAATCCGAATTGCTGCGTGGGATTTCTTGCCTTATACCTATACCAATCCGAGCGGCGAATCGATTAATATTTACAAACGTATGATGTGGCCATAATACCAATATGATATTATTCGTGGTTTATTAATAACGACAGTCGACAATCGCATAATATATTATACAATTATAATAATATTAATGTTTGTCATATTATTATAATACTGCTGATTATAATTAACAAGAGCAGTTGAAATGAACAAATTTGAATTTATAAAAATAACATAAAATATGTTTGCTAACTAAATAATACAATTTTTTAAAAAATGTTTTTAAATATTTTATCTACGTATCTATAGTAAGAATGCTACAATCCCAAGTTAAGTAAAATATGGGAAGAGAAATTATACGATTCTGAGCTTACGAATGCAAGTTGATTTCAATTGTTTAAATCTCTTCAATTGGGCCTAAATATTAAATGGATTAATGAAATCATACGAGACTCTGAAACCCACCATGAAGAACAACCATACATGGTCATGTTAACACTGAATTACTACAGCTGCTGGATACAGAATTAGATGTCAGACGCCTTAAACGTCATAAACTAAACGGCTTGGTTTTATTATAAATATTTATGTATGTAAATAACATAGAATAATCCAATGGGAGGAGTTCTGTAAATGTTTGGTCATTTTATTATACCTATTACTTATTTAGGGCCTTATCTTATGATTGTAGAAGACGGAGTACTGTAATTAAAAAAAAAATGAGTTTGTACTCCGAAAAAACTCTAGCCCCACCATTTAGGAGAAGTTTTTACCTTGGTTCATGTCTAGTAGCCCCTAAATTCTTAGTGATTATGGACTAGCAGTCTATGCTTGAAATTTGTATACACGTTTAATGCTAGACAAAAAAAAATTTTTATAATACTCACTTTTGTGATGGTACATTGGTGAGGCTCAAGAAATTATTGCGGACGCTTCGTAGACTCGCCAGTATTTGTGCAAACGGCGTAACGATGAGATCTTCGCCATGGCTAGAATTATAAAAAAAAAACACATCATTATTACTTTGAGTGGATGAAAACCCAAACCAAGAGGTAACTTAATACTATAGACATGTTTTTCGTTAAAAGTAAGATGTCAACTGCAGGTAATCTAGGTCAACTTAGGACGGATAGGCGATGTTAATTCGTATAATTAAAATTGTATACATAATAATATGTACTTGTAAAGAGAATACAATGACCATTTTTCCGTAGGTAGGTATCTAAACATAACTTAACCACGAATGTCATGTGTATCACATTTCAAGAGAATAACAAAGTTGCTCCCCACACAAAGCTCAACAATTTTATTCAAATACATTATTGTACAGCCAATATTTATACACCTGTATTTATTATATAATATTATGTACTAGGTAATCAATTACCGGAAAGATATCTTAGACTTGGGTATTTTTCAATAACGATGTATATACACGCTTTATAATATAATATAATAATCCAGTATTATAGTATATTATTAGGTAGGTATATTAATTAAATGTAAATAGATAATCCTCCTGATTCTAAATAGGAAACATAATACTGTGTAAACTTTACACATCGGATAAAGTAGTCACACCAAATTATTTTTAGGATCGTTTCTTTAATAGTTTTAGTTGCGGCTGAAGTACTCGACTGACTCGTTTACCATCACTACAACAGTTTAAATCTACAATAATTATTATATTGTAGATATTTTTTATGTCGTATATTATATATGTGAAGTGCAGTGCAAATAGAATGTTTTTATACTACTAATTATGTGATAATGTAAATAATGAAACCAATCACATAATTATTACATTAAAAATCGTACACATTTATTATACCAAGTTATAAATAACTCACAAAAGGCTACTGCGTGTAAACAAATTATAATATGAAATCTCCGTTTTTTAACCATAAATATCACACATTTTTTTTTATAGTTCCATTATCAAACGGGATAGAAGAAAGAAAGTGGGTGGACACGGGAAAAACGGTTGAAAAGAAAAATGGTGGAAGTCAGGTTAAATAACTCCCAGGAGTATTAGGGAGGAAAATGCTTTTAGGCTGTGTCTGGTTGCAAGAAAATAAAACGAAAGTTTTTGAATATTAATGTATGTTACGTAATAATAATAATAATAATAATACTTCAAAAAGAGAAAAAATGTTGGAATACGATGTAATATTATTATATATTTTCATCATCCCACGTAATCTGCAAAATGATAATCATTAAAAAAAATGTATTATTAGATTTTGAGAGATGCGACGAATGTATTGATTTTACAATGATGGGTATTTTTTTGTTTTATTTGTGTGGCTGAAGACACTTTTTCTAGTAGAAAAAATGTTCTGATCATCTACGTTGATGGAGGTTTCTGGTAGAAAATTGGATCTAGTTGGTACATTTTGGAGGTCAAAATCGTGGTCAAGATTTTCAATATTTTTTAAAATAATCGATAAAGACAAAAAAAAAATCTAAAATAATAAAATAACTGTTTGGTAACCATGATTACCAAAAAGTTATGTATACCGTGTTCATACAGACCATCATTTGTTTTAATTCTGTAAAATATTATGTTAGTCAAAGTTTTTCGCTAGATCTAAAAGCAAGATTTTGTTTAACTTGTTAATACTTGAACTGAAAAAAATAAATCGTGAATCACAGTATTTTTTTATGATTGTTTGAGGATAGAAAATTGACGAATTTGTGAATTGAATAAAACATACGCAATAATGATAGTTAAATTTTAAAAACATAATATTCAAATTTTCGGTCAAAGTTATATCAATCTACCGTAATTATACTAATTGTTAAGTAAATTACTTTAAAAGTAACATCAAAAATCATATTACGAAATATATTTAGTAGGTACTGCTGCAGGCAGAATAACTTGAGTCTTCGCTCAAAATCGTTTTCCGTGTGCAATGATGTATAGTTGAATTCAAATTTAACACATATCTACATTAAATTGACTTACTCAATGACGAGGAATACTCGACACCTACAACTGCCTACTGCAAAACGGTTACACACTTTCCAGCTTTCATTATGATTACTTTTTCCTAACATGCCATTCTGCACACAGCCCATATATTAAATATATATATATACATTTTACGTTATATATTGCTTAACAGTGAATTAAAATTAAAAAATAATGCTTATTAAAACAAATGTTTATTTTTAATTTATTTCATCCTAGGTGAACCTTTAAAAAGTTCTTTATCTTGGACTTTATTTTAGATTTTAATAATTCCCAGGAGGTAGGTAAGCGTAGCAGGGTTATGTCCAAATTGAAGCCTATCTTTGGGATTATACAGCTCGATCACTTTTTTAAACTGCACCAACAACTCAATTAATATTGATTTTTAGATTTTTGTGCTCAAAATATGATAACCATAATTCCATAATAATTCACATATGAATTATACGAAGTCCCTAGTATATTACGTTTAATGTAATAATATAATTTGTATAAATGAACAATGATTATATCTACTATTGATCAAAATAAATAAAATTTCACCATAGTTATTTTGGTGTTGTAACTCAGTTGTAAGTCATTACTAATAAAATATGCGGCGTTATAAAATTACTGGTTTCCTAATATTTTATGTAAATTCATAACTTTACAATTAACATAATATTATTATAAAGCATATACGAGTAAGGTAGGTACATATTAACAAGTTTTAAGGCAGGTGAGCTATTCGCTGAATCGAATTATTAACTTCACTATATTTATTAATGGGAATTTATTCGCATGTTATTTTGGTAAAGGTCGAAATAGTAATTATAACACTAAAAGTTTACGTAACTTGAAGTGGTAGAGAATATTTAAAATATATCGCAATCGATTTCAATTGTAAAGCACGCAATAAAATAATACGAACTGCTTATTAAGCAGCATGGATAATTTATTATTGCAGTGTGGTCGATGAATAAAAAATATGAAAATTAGTAATCATTAGAAAAAAAACATTCTTACAATATCACTAGTTGAAAAGAGCTGGAAAGGGAAAAGTTTAACAGTATATTCAGCTTTCGTAAGCAATTTTGTAAACATTAAATTTAACTACTGTTTGGCTTGGGGAAGATGATGATGAATATACCTAAGTCGGCAGATCAGACGCTTTGATTACGGATCGGCAAACAAAATTAACTTGATGAATTTAAATTTTAAACAGTGGACACTATATATATATTATAAACTAGAAGTTACGGGGTCTATGGCCTATAAGTTTGGAGTTATTTGCTTTTGGTCGTTGGATTCCTTTGGGTGTATAGTTTTGAGCATATTCATCGGATGCTTGTCATTTAAAATATATGTATGTGATATAATATTACTATAAATATTATCATAATACATTTAAATTGTTTTGTTAATTAATTTGGGAATTCAATTCTCCTCAGGCTCGACATTATAAAATCATAATATATATACCTATCGTAGTACAATACAATAATATCATCTCGCTCAGAATAATTCGAAACGTTTCTATTTGACTTTCAAACGTATATTATATTGTGCTGGAAATGTGATTTTTGTGTTTAAAGCTCTCCATAATACTACAGAAGTGTGAGTGGGCGTGGGTGGGCGTGTGTTTAACGTTTCGAGATTCAGATTAAAAGTTTGATGGTTTCCATGACTTTTTGTGAGCTACCCGGGAGTATAATATATAAATACAAATAAATATCGGCGCAAACTATATACATATCATATGAACCCGCATCTACAGTGTACATATAATATAAGTATAATATCACGATTGTATAATACATCACGAGTACCTCCATTTGATAAATCCAAAATTATATTATTGACGTTTTATAGTAACTTTCGATTACACCTGAGACCTAATATATAATGTCGAGGAGCGTTGGATCCGCATCATATTATATCATAATATTCGTGAAATATTTATTAATACGATTTATGTTATAGAGCACGAGGAATTATTGCATCGATACAGCGTGTACAGAGTACCAATATATTAAAATGATATAACAATAATAGTAATATGTTCATTCTACACGTTTGATATACAAATTTACACAACCACAGAACAAATAAGCTCCTACATGCAAAGCGATCGTTATTACAGGTCTTGTAAACATTAACCGTGAACAAGACAGAATGGCAACTCTGAAGACGTCAAATGTCACCGGTTTAATAATTATTATTTAAAATAACATTCGCAGGATTAGTAAAGATTATATACATGTTATACATTACTAATAATAATTCTAATAATATTATAATACGCAATAGTCGTCCACTATTATTATCACTACACCCCAGCATTTAATTTAAACGCGATTTATTTTATAAAATATTGACAACTTTTTATTGTGCCGGCATATTATTTGGAATTGTATAGATTAAGTCTTAGGTACTATGTTTTTCAGGTTATTAAACAATGCAGTTAAACTCCAGTGATATATTATCGTACCTTATATAGAGCGTCTGCAAGGAAATTTATTATTTTCCTGCACGCATTGTTAGATATACATTATACCTACTTTATTCGAAAACAATATAATTTCACAAGTGACGGGATACGAATGTTTGGAGAAAAAATGCTTCCGAGTTGCATGCTAGAGACACACGTCGAGTACAGGTCATAAATAATATTTGACCTAACGACGGGGCGTGGTAAAGGCGGGCAGGCGGGCTCTATAATATGGATCGCTTAGAGAGACGTAATAACTATAATATTATTATTGTTATATGTTATAATAATGCTATGCATAATGTATTTATTAGACTAGTCTTATTTACGGAATACGTTTATTTAACTACCGTCGGTATGAGGACATATCGCGCGTTGAGGTTAAAAGTTTATTCGAACCCATCGCGACGACAAACAATATAAAATATATTATATTTTGGAAAATTATTACTGGGTATACGTACCTAGGTATATAAATGTAGGTACATATCATATACATATGTAACGCAGTAATGTATATAAAGACTGCTCACGTTCGACAGATCACATTCGAAAACGATAAAATAATACTTTAACATTAATGGATCGTCACGTATGTTGCTCGTAGAATATATATTATTATTATTATTATGGATACGAAAAGAATAAAATACGATGCTCGATGGGTATATACTTGCTGCATATCACACATCCGGTTGCGCAGTTTTCTTCCTGTTCCTCGTACTCGTGTATATAATATACAAGACACACACACACACACACACTTATACGTCCATACATAATATATATTAGATACATATTATACTAAATTATGTACAGCAGCACATTTGACTGGCATTTAAAATATTGTGTAACTAATATCGAGTTGGGGGGAAAAACAAAACAAGCAGATCGTACGCGCCATGAGTTTATATATTTTAACAACAACTGCGACGACATATTTAAGTAATGTTTCCTATACAAGCACACATAGTACACAATATTTTGGTGAGCGCCATTGATATACAAACAGTAAATAAGTCCACCAATGACGTTTTGCATATTGTCCTACACTATTATAACAATGTTATATTATATATAATATTACAATACGAAGTAATGTACATTTTTAAGTATTATTATTATTACTATACAATACGCATAGACAGGTGTTACTATACTATAGTAATATTACGTTTTAAGATACAAAAGTTATATTATTTCGAGTGTAGGTACCAAGTTCGAATTTGAAACAAAATGATAGACTGTGAAGACCCCGGCCGGAGTTCAAATAATGTCATAAAAATAATTTGATGTTTGTCTTCAAAATAATTGAAAAAACATTGTTTATTATTATGTCATTTTTATTTTGAATATAAAATAGGCGTTCGAAATACGATTTTCTTCTTTCTTGTACCTGCTGCAGAGTTATTTTTTGCACACGGCACTAGTAATAATACAGAGGGACTTGTTATTACATATTTTCACGAATAAACATATAATGTTAAGATTTTTTTTTTTTAAATATATATATTTTTTTTCAATTAGGTAGTCAGGTGTAAGTTACGGGAGAGGGTCCTACATTTGGTAGTTGGCTAGCCACTTTACACAATTATACAAATGGCCCGTCAAAAGAAAAAAATTAAATTATAATTTTTATATTTTATTTTATTTTATTACAAACAACATTTCAAAATAGGTACTGCATAAGTTATTACATTACAGATTAATATTTGTATTCTATAATTATGGTAATTAGGTTAGTTATAATTATTGAATATAATATAATATGTACATATTATCCGTCTGTTGGGGGCAAAAAAGCCCTTGAGGGTCACGGGTTGGACCACCCTCAGTTAGGGTATAAGTTTAAACTATATATTACAATTATTATACAACACTACATCCCTGTATTCTGCCCCATGTGTACCTACTCAGCACACCCACGTTTTATTCAACTAATGTTACCTGCCACAGCAAGCGAGAAACAAAACCCTATTTTAGTGTAGTCGTGGAACATAAAGTTAATGTTTTGATAACATTACTATGCTGTGCATTTTATTATAGTTGTAATTCTCTGTATGCGAACGCCAAATTATTACGCGCAGTGTAAATATTTTTGTTGAAGACTTCAAACGCCTGTGGTGGTGTATACTTGTCTAAGAGCGCGAGCAAATTCAAAAAAAGAAGACGGGACAGAGAGTTAAAATAAATGTCAGTAATTTCATATAAATTGAATCATCCACTGTAAAAATGTTATTAATTTTTCTTCGCGGATAAAAAATAATTTATGTGTAGGTACCTACGTTTTTTACCCTTCGGCTCCGTTTGTAATAAACGAGGGTTGCCAGTTGTGGGTGTTAGTTAGCATTTATAAAATAAAATAATTGTAACCTTTTTTTCCTTTTTTAGTTTTTACTCTGTTCTTTTTTTCATACAATTTCATAATTTCCTTGAGAATTACACGAAGTTTGTATCAATTCACCCACACCGAAAATCAGATAATACAATGAAAATTCATTATAAAGTCTTCGTTATGGAATTAATTTGTTAAATATTTATTTTTCTTAAACCCAATCAGCTTCATTATATATTTTTAAATTATTTATAATTAG